GCCATCACCATCAACGATCATTATCTTCATCATGTAACTAGAAGCCTGGACAAATTAAAAGAATGAGACTCTGCAAATGCTGACCATGGGATTGAGGGACCTCAATTATCAGGAACAAATAACATACTGAAATGAAAATGGAGGGACATTCTATGAAGGACTATTACCATGTGTAGAGCCAACCAGATCCAAGGCATCAAAGTTCTAAGATACTGAAAATAGGGTTGATGAAGGCACCTGTCCCCTTCTACGGATATCTAGTGGAGGATTTTTTATGAGAAGGGCCTAGTCCATAACCTGACTTGGATAATGAGAAAATAATTTATATGATATGCCAATGATGTTACTCAGATTTGGACAACTAGGAAATCTAAGGTGGAGATTGATTAAAAGAGTGACAATAATACTTGTAGTCCAGAGCTGGACACAACACTAGATGCTGCACTAGGAGATATCATAGAGTTGGAAGAATCCTCATGAGTCATCTAGTCCAACCTTGCTCACTGCAGGACTTCCCACTAGATCCCCAATATGTGTCTGCCCAACCTCTTTTGATTACATCCAGAGAAGGAGGATTGCTCCTCTCACTATGTTTTGTTCCTCTCACCAACTTGGTTCCTCGCTCCATCTTTGAAAAGAGAAAACTGCCTGCAAGGCACAGCAGAAATTTGTTGTACAGCCGATTTTTTATTTTTCCTATTTTTTTCTATCTATTTTAACAGATTTTATCCCCCAGTTGTTATCCCACCAGATCTCAAGGAAATCTGCTTAAAGGTATTTCTGGCACTGTTACTGATTTCAGAAGAAAGGGATACTATTCTCTGTTCTTCCTTGGTTCCAGCAACTTGTTACTAACATCCTGTATATATATGCCAGAAATACAATAACTTCTTGTCCATCTTATCTGGCTAGCATGTACCTCCTGTACTCCTGGGTAATGAATCCTCTTCCACAAGAACGTTTCTCTTCTGGCTGCAGTTGATGGTGAGGCTGGTTCTTTCCTTGGCATGCAGTGTCTCTTGCTTCTGGTCTCCTGTCTACACCTCTTCACCATCATCAACCTCAAGAAGATGTAGGAGGCAATTGAACCTTAACATAACACAATTTCTGTCTCTCCTTGAAGACTAAGGATATCAAGATCTTGATCCATAATCCCAGATCTAACCAAGTCTTAGAGAAATCTCAGCCCAGCCTCTCACAACACAAAAAAACACATGAGATGTGGAGCTGAGTGTGCAATCTAAGGCATGCCTACTTGGTTTTAGTCATTTTTACCAAAGTCAGTACAGTCACCTACCTTTACTCCCAATGGATTAAAGATACCCAAGAAAATGTCAGAAATTGAGATACATCACCTTCCTTATCTCAGTTGCTTCAACCTTCCNTCCAAGTTCTATTTGAAGGCACAAAGTGGTAAATACACTGGACCCTTCAATTCAGCTCTCACCAAAAGCAGTACTTTATTATGTACAAAATATACATCACAATCTACGGTCATGTCCGTTCACATCTTGACACACACTGTATGGAGCACATTACATACCTCAGAGCTCCTTTCAGATCTGCACAGGAAACTCCA